ATCTAGGGCAGAAAATATAGGTTCCTGAATTCTGAGCCAACCTACGGAAGGACTGTATAATTCTCCACCTATTCCACCAACCAAAAGAAACGCAACAAGAAAACTAAGAAATGCCAGAGTATATAATGACACTCTATACTCTCAATACAAATGAAAAGAAGTCTCAAAATACAATCCGCTTGGTTTCTTTCTTTAGCACAGCAATAATGTATGAGTGGAACACTGAAGCTTAGGTTCATCATAACTACATTTAAAAAAAGCAAACCCAGGAAAACCCCATTATGGTCTCATGAAAACATTTAACGTATCCCCACGTCTCAGGATACAAGTCCATAGGTTATCTGCAAAAACGCCATACATTAATTTAAAGGGAACAGCTAAACAAATTGGCTCCAACAGAAATACAAATAAATGGATTAAAAACTGGCTATCTAACCGTATACAGAGAGAAATCGTAATTGGTAGTCCGTCTAGTTGGGGAGAGGTTTCCAGTTGGGTCCCACAAGGATCGATATTGGGTCCCATTTTGTTTAATATCTTTATAAAAAATCTGGAAGACAAAGTAGAGAATGTGCTAATTAAGTCGACTGATGCCACTAGATTAGAATTGGTGGTTAAAGTAAATTGGCTATAGATAAATGCTACTGGTCTCTAGAAAGACCGATGCTAACAGAGACTAGAACTTCTAAATAGTTCTTTTTAATGTATCACTTACAAAATCTAGTTTCAAGCACTAGAAATAAATAAATTTAAAAGATCTTAGTGCTCTGCATAACCAAAAATTTAGGTGTAATGGATAAAGACAACACAGAGACTCCAACACCCATGAATGCAGAATAAAGGATACCCCCCCAGTAGATCTTTTCGGTGCAGCTTTATTGGGAAAACTGGTGGTTGTGGGTCTCTCGATACAGTGAGGATATTGGAGGCATTTCAGATATGCAAGAATCAAGGTGGTGAAAAGAGAGAAGAAACTAAAGTCTCAAATATATATACACCTAGTTATTGGCAGAAAAATAAACAAGAAAACAACATAAAGCTCAAAAGAAAAAAGGGAGAGCTGAAAACTTGAAGGCATGAACAAGAAAAGTGGGAAAATTGATCAAGAGAAAATCCTATAAGGAAACACACACACACACACACACACACACACACACACACACACACACAAAATAGAAGAATGCAAGGTATAATAGGAGAGCTTTCCTAACACTAGAAAAAGAGACTGTAGTTTTTTAGCTACTCCTGAAAACACTGAAGAAAAATATTCAGTAGAACCCTTACTGGTTTGAGGTTTATTTTTTAAAATCTTATTAGTTAACAATTTAATTTGTCGCATGGAGACAACTGGGAAAGTAACAAGGCTTGTCAGCTATGGACTCATGTGTAAACAGACGGGTTCTTTTAGGTGGTGTGAACTGAATATATAGACTAATCTGGAATCAGCTTTTAAATTTTATATTATTTTTTCACTTGCTTGCACAGAGGAATGTACACTGGATAACGACTAGAAAACCTAGATCATCTCAGAAATCTTGTTAACTTTGCTATGCAACCTTGGATAGTTAACTTTCCTTCAGAGCCTTAGTTTTTCCATCAGTTAAACGCCAGACTAAGAATTGTTTTAAGAGCTGCAGATAATTCTTGTTGAAATAAGAACTTACAGGAAATTTCATACAGGGAAGAGATTAGAAAAATGTGGAAGCATGCCTTTGAACGACAGTGGGCTCCCACCTGGCTAGGCTTCCCATTTTCATCCCTCCTGCCCTCAGGACAGAGAACAGTTTAAAAATCACTTTAGACCATATGACATGCTGCTTCTGTCTCTAGGAAACCATCAATGGAACCAGAAAAAGTCAATCCCTCTCCTAGTGACTGATTGCTCCGGAGCATCCAACAATACTTAGTTGATTATATGTGCCTGATCTTTAAAAAAAAAACTGTAGAATTACAGTTAAAAAGAAGGAACATTCTTGATAAGAAATAGAGTGACATTATTCATGATGCCGACACAAAAGAAAGCATTGTGCAATCAGAGCCCTCTGTGGGTCTCCTCTAACCCTTCATGCTGTGTTAAAAAAAAAAAAAAGGGAGCCTGGAATGTTAGATGGCTACCTTTAAAAAATCTAATCAACACGGCTGTAAGTATTCTGGCCTAAGAAATAATTGATAAAGTTTGTAGTTGGCTTGCTATCGATTTTACAGCTGATACCTGTTGAAAAATGATTTCGTTGCTTTGACTTTAAAACTTCCAAAGTGAAACATTCCTCTGTAGGTAATACTCTTTTAGGGGGTAGGACTGCATCCTACATACTAGAGCATGTAGAACGCACAAGCAAGTATCGCCAATAGGTCTGGAGACTGTAAATTTTATTTTGAAAAGTCATAATGTTTATCGTTTATAATATTTTGTTAATATTTATCACTTACCTAGTGCTTATCATATACTGGGGACTATGCTATCTTCTACACTTTATCATAACTTCATAACTTATAAGAGGAATTAACTCCATTTTACAGATGAGGAAACTAAAGGGTCAGAGAGGCTTCTTTTCCCCCCTATTATCACACGACTACTAAATGGAGGGTAAATATCAAACCTGACTGACTCTAAAATATCTGTCCAGAACTACTGTGCTAAATGATAACTCCTGATACCATGATGTTATTGCACACTGATCAAAGAAAGAAGAGACTCCACTTGTGCTAAAGAGTTTTAAGAATAGGACACGTATCTTAAATTTTTCTCAAGTTTAAAACCGGAGGATTGGACTACCATAGAGTTTTTTAACCTCAGCAGTACTGACGTTTTGGGCTGGATAATTGTTATGGGGAGGCTGTCCAATGCACTGTAGGATGTTTAGCAACACGGCTAGCCTCTCCCCACTAGATACCAGTGACAATCCCCTCCTCCTGGTTTTGATAATTCAAAACATCTACAGACATTGTCAATGATCCTCTGACGGGGGCAGGGAGGGGTGTGGTGGCCAAATGGCCTGAGATTTGAGAACCACTGTACTAGAAGAATTCTGGTATCTTTTTTGTTCTCTCATTCTGTGCTCTGAATTGTGGATCCAACTTCAGCCAAGAGGATGGATGGGTTTTGCATCACTATGGGGTACCTGCCCAGTGAACCATTCCCTACCTCCATCTCAGTACACTGAGTTTAAAACTACCTGAAGCTCTCCAGGTTCAGTCTGCTACAAAACTGCCACTCTCTGGTACTTAAATTTATTATGTAAATGCAAATTGGTATGAAAAAAATAGGGTAGGTGAAAGTGAAGAGAGATCAGATGTTAAGCCAGCTTTGCTTTAGGCAATTTATTGAGACTCATTTCCAACTGGTGTCTTAGGAGATTGTTTTATTTGTTCATTTTCTTTACTAAAGGTACTCTATCAGGAAAACTGTAAAATGGGTTTAAAAAGCATTCTCTATTTGACAGCCCGAGAGAGTCACAATGCTACCTTGGAATCTATTAACAGATTCCAATAAGTGAAACCTGGAGCACTGAAAAGAGATTGACAACTTCCTAGATCCTGTGGTTCACTGGCTTATAGGGGCCATACTTAAAATTTGCATCATTGTGAATATCATCTCCTGGGAAAGGAGTGCCTCTGATTAGAGAATAGTCCAAAATCGAATATCTGACCTATGGATATATGGAAAATATCAGTGAGTCAGAGGCTTTCACTGGGTTTGCTCCAAATAAAACTCAATGGCAGAGATTATTTTTGGTGTGCTACCCTTGGAATTAGATTGAAGTTAGAAATATTAAAATGTAAATTCAATAATTATTGGATGGTTAACAATCCCAGATAGCTTAAAAGTATTACTATTTTCTTAGTTCCATCACTATGAACTATTTACCAAATCTAACATTATGAACTACTTTATAAACGCTATTTATGGCAGATATTAAAATAAGTCCTTGTTTTTTTTGTCTATTTTGAAGCGCATAAAGTTGCACTATGGGAAAATGCATATGTAAATATTCTGTTCAGTGCCGAAAGTTATATAACAGGAAGCCAGGTGAAGTCACATTTTGGGAGTAAAGATGGCTAGATCTATTGGAACTATTGTCGAAAGCCTTAAAATTGAGATTCTAAATCTTGAATGCAAATAAGAATAATATTTGGAGAATTAAAAAAAATTATGATGCCCAGGCATACCCCAGGAACAATCAAATCAGAATTTCTGGGGATGAAACCCAGGCTTCAGTATTTTTTAATGCTTTCCTAGTCATTTAATTGAGCACCCAAAGTTGAGAACCATTGCCTTCAAGAATAAATTGGATTTACAACTGTGTAGGAATTTTTCTTTGGCTATGCCTGACTTAAGCAACATGGTAGCCTCCTGTACTCAAATGCTTCAAGGATTTTAAGTAGTACATGTGCAATGTATTAAGTAATTATCTGTCACTTAAAAAGAAAGTTATTCTTTTTTTCCCTTCCACTTCTCTTTCTATCTATCTGATGACTTCAAGAACAAAGTCTCAGTTTGTTGCTGGTGAGTCTTTAGCACATGTCTGTACATGCTTATTTCCTTTTTAAATCAATGAGAATGCAGAGCTCAGGCCTAGAGCCTTTATCTAGTATAACCTAGAATTTAATAATATAGTTTCATTTTTATTTATACTTAAGATTATCTTCCAGCAAGTAATACTGATTTAAGTGATATGAAATTTCCTTTTTTAAAATAAATTTAAATAAAGTGAGTAAATTTAAATAAACATAAAGTAAATAATAGTACATATTATACTCATATATGGAATAAGTTACAAAGGTGGTTCTCAGATGACTATGGTTTGGGCCACCCTAGTGTTAAGGTAAAGGGCATGTAAATGTTGTACCATAAATTTGGGCCCTAATTGTGCCTCCATCACTAATTATCTCTTCCCTGGGCTTTGGTTTTCTCATTTGTTAACAAGGCCATGAACCTATATTGCAGGCATTCTTCTATGAGTTTAAGAAGCAAGGAGGGCTTTGCCCTTTGAACTTACCTTGTTGACATCCAGACGCATCTTCTCATTGTTGGCACTGGCAGCCTTTTCAGCTGCTTTCTTTTGGCGTTGAGGTCCCCTCCCAAAAAAGATGTAGTTGACCAAAGCATATTCCAGAAGGGCCATGAAAACAAAGACAAAGCACCCCATCAGGTACATGTCAATGGCCTTCACATAAGGGATTTTAGGGAGAGTTTCCCGGAGGTGGGTATTGATAGTGGTCATTGTTAGCACAGTTGTAATTCCTGTAAAAAATGAGAGAGTTAGAGTAATAATGTTTGTATTTTCTTTCTGCTTTCATCATAGCTGGAAAGGTTAACTGTATTCTTTTACTTGTTTATAGATACTGCAAAATATATACCAGGCATTTATTATATAGCAGCCCTGTGATAGGCCCTGGCAATATGTATAAATCATTAATTTACAGTAAACATTAATCATTCGGGGGGCATTTCCTTTAATTACATTTTTATATTTATAGTTATGTATCTAGTGGGGGGCTAGAGATGTGAATTAAATGCTATGATAGACATCTGTGTAAGGTGAAAGTTGAGAATATGGAGAAGATACTAGTTTAGCCCATGATGTGGCAGGGAAGAGATCAGGAAATACAGACTTCGGAGCTGAGTCCTGAAGAATGAGTGGGAGTTACCCAGGCAAACAAAACCTGGAGGTCAAAAGTGATAGTAGACCTAAGGGCGTTGGTGGTGGAGATAGTTTATTTATTTTTTTAAAAAATATATATATTTATTTATTTATTATTTTTTGCTGTGTTTGGTCTTTGTTGCTATGCACGGGCTTTCTCTAGCTGTGGAGAGCAGGTGCTTCTCTGTTGCCGTGTGCGGGCTTCTCATTGTGGTGGCTGCTCTTGTTGCGGAGCACGGGCTCTAGGCGCATGGGCTTCAGTAGTTGTGCCTCGCGGGCTCTAGAGCGCAGGCTCAGTAATTGTGGCGCACGGGCTTGTGGGATCTTCACGGACCAACTCTCGAACCCATGTCCCCTTCCTTGGCAGGCGGATTCTTAAGCACTGTGCCACCAGGGAAGCCCCAGAGTTTTTTTAAAGGGGTGCTTTGTGGGGGTGAAAGTACGCAGCCCATCAAAAGAATCTCAAGAAACTCAATGTGGGTACATTATAGGATATGATGGGAAGAATGATGAGGAAAGTGGAGATTAAGGGCTGCATAATGGAAAGTTACATACACAGAGCCTAATGCAGAACTTGAACCTAAAACTGAAGGCAATGTGAGGCCACTGACCAGCTTCCAGTAGGGAGGTATCAGGGACAAACTGTGTTTAGGACGATCATGAGGGTAAGCATGCAAGACAGGAAGCAGAATACCAGCTGAGAGTTTTTCAGAATAAGTAAGTGATGAAGGGGAAATAAATTAAAATCACTGTAAAAGTACTGAAATCAATGAATGCATTAAACAGATGATATGAACAATGATTGCAAAAAATATGGAAACTCGAGGTGGAGAGTAACAGAGAAGCAGCTGTCTAGCCTTTGTGTTTCTGGGTTGGGAATGTAGGCACATAATGCACAGATAAATAATATAGAAGTATTACAAGACTCTATGGGAAATGCCACACTATGTCAGGTTATTACTATTAGTCCAGCTGAGGGAACATCTCCAACAGTGGGGAGTAGTTTCCCCAAAGCTGTAATTGGAGGGATAGACAGAGATATGCTGGGTAAAAGCACTGGGAGCCCAGAGCCCTGAGTTTGATAAGGTCCAGCTTTGTAGGAAAAGAGTGATGTGAAAACAGAGCTCTGAGGTCAAGATCACACAGATGGGAAGTTGCAGAGTCAAAATTTGAACTGGGGTCTCTCTGACTCAGAAACCTGTGCCCTTAAACACTACCCAATAATACAGACCAAAAGTTAATTTTCAATTCTATTTTTTAGGAACATATGTTTTCTGATTTAATTTTTTCTCTCTAATAAGATCATAATTTTTGCCTTGCTTTTCTATATGCTCATGAAAAAGATACAGAAAAAATAAATTTGAGCATCCAATTCTGAGCATGGCCAAAACACTATGGTTATACTTTAGATCTAGGTATTTTATAGTTCTCACATCTTTTCTATATTAGTCATTTTGACACATTTTCCAATTTTACTTTTCTCTTCATTATTTCATCTAGAGCTTATCTTGGATGACATGAATATTACATGTATATTATAAAACAGACAACATTGATTTAACTATTTATCTAAATCTCATGTTAAGGTGTTTCTGACCTAGTAATAAACTGCTCACATAAAAGACATTTGACAATTTTCTTTCAAAAAGTAAATAACTTATGTATTATTCCTGTAATAGGCATCAAATTGATAACAGATTTTCATTTTGGAATAACAGGTTATTTACAAATTTCATTCATTACTTTATTCAGCAGTTATTTACTGGACACCATTCACTGTGTGAGACACTACAAATATAATGGAAGCAAAATTAGATATGGACCTTCCTCCAAGATATCTTCAGTACCATGAGGAAAAAGAACACCACAAATCAAATAAATATAAATTATAACTGTGGTTGGTCTCCAAGGTTGGTCTACAGTATTTTAAGAGAATATATCACAGGGGACTTGACTCAGTCCAGGAGGTAATTAATTCTCCTTCCATCCCTAATCTCAACACAGCAGCCAAAGTTATTCCTTTGTATCTGAAATCATGTCACTTCTTTGCTCAGTGTTGCTCTAATTTCACTCAGAATAAAAGCAAAACTTTTATTATGGCCCCTGGACCATTTCATCATCTTTTAGTCCCCTCTCTCTGACATTATCTCTACTCCTGAACTGACTCTGCATCTGCCTTACAGGCCACCTTGCTCACTTGCTTGGCATGTTTCTACCTGAGGGCCTTTTCATCAAGCTGGAATATTCTCATCCAGACATTTATGTGACTCAGTCTTCAAGTCTTTATCCATTGGCAATCAATGAAGTCTACCCTGATTGTTCTAAACTGTACCTCTAGTATACCCACCTCCTTACCTTGCTTATTTCCACTCTACACGTTTACCATATTATATAATTTGCATGTTAAATGCAAAATAAATTTATTTTTTTACCTTTTATTGCTAGAACATAACTTCCAGAAGGACACGGGCTTTATCTCCAGTGCCCAGTACGTTTGACACATAGTAGGTGCTCAAAATTTCTGTTGTATGAATAATGACTCTGCTAAGGAATTAATGATTTAATTGAGATATACTGGTGAAGCACTTAACTCAAAATTTAAAGGGATTAGTCAGAACTCAGAATAATAAAGATGGCATAAAAGGTCATAAATTTATTATATCTGGAGTTAGCAACATAAAAATGTTCATGAAATCCAATTTATTCTCTTCCTCTGGTGTTATGATGGAAAAACATCATGCATAAGGTAAGTGATGCCATGGATGATTTCCCAATATTCTTACTTTGTTGTCTCCTGCCCTCTGCCATGCTATCCCAAAATCTTAGTTAAGACTTCAGAATTCTTTCTGCTCATTGATTAGTTGCACCTTTCATTTCTTTATTTCTTGTTCAGAATTAAAAAAAAAAAAAAAAAAAAAGATGGAAGAGAGCTCTTCCCAGGTAAGGAAACACAGATAAAAACAACAATTATCTAGCAATATTACCTGAACTATGCTTCAATAAAAATATCAGGCTGATGGGACTAATTTCATTACCGACAGCTACATAGTTAACTGATTTTGACATGAAAGAGTTTTAATTTGTGTTTAACTGATTTAACGCTGAATCAGATCACCCAATGTCTCATAGCCAAATTCTTATAATGTGCGCAGTCCGGTCTCATCACGAATTGCAAATTCGAGGGTAAGGAAAGTGCACACGCACTCACACGCACACACAGGCACACTCCACAAGCAGTCAGATTGATGCCTACCTAATGCCACTCTTGCAGCTGAAGCATCGTAATTAATCCAGAAGGAGACCCAGGAGAGGATAGTGATCAAGATAGATGGCATGTATGTTTGCAGGATAAAGTAACCAATGTTTCTCTTAAGCTTAAAGCTGAGGGACAACCTGGGATAGGAACCTAGAAAGACAATTTTAAAACATCATCGTTATCAATCAATATTTATAGGATACTTTTCTTTAAAGGCCCATAAACAGTTTGTATATCTTTCCTAAACTCAATTTTAGCTCCTGGTGAAGGGCACTTTCTCCTGCAAAAGTGGTCTGAGAAAACAGGGCTTTTAATTAGCAGGACTTACTCAGTGTTAAATATATTCCACACTCATCAGTAATTGAAAGAATTCCAGCTCTTCCCTCCTCAGCCTCCTACACTGAATCAAAGGTTCTCATTCTCTGCAACTGTGATGGCAAGACAATTTGAGACAGTCCCTTTGTTCCCCCTTTAACTGTTTCTCAGCAAGTCCATCCACATTTTTGT